CGCAATGTCCGGACGGGTATGAGCTAAATAAATCAATTTCCCCACAAGTCGTTCATAACGTTCTTTATCAGTCGAAAATTGATCGGGATATATTCCCAACTTATGATTCTGCTCACTAGGGGTATCAATCGGTTTACAATCCAACATTCCAGTTTCTGCAAGAAAATCCAAAACATATTTTCTTTGGGACAAAAAAATACCATGCTTAGATCTGGCAACTTCAATCCCAAGAAAGTATTTCAAGTCACCTAAATCTGGCAACTTCAATCCCAAGAAAATACTTTAAATCACCCAATGATTTCATCTCGAACTCAGAAGCCAGATACTTCTGAAAACTTTGTATCTCCACATGATCATCTCCAGTCACAATCATATCATCAACATAAATAATTAAAGCCGTCAATTTACCTTTATGACGCTTCAGAAACAAAGTATGATCAGGTTTACTTTGCACATACCCAAACTTCTTCATGGATACAGCAAATCTTCCAAACCACGCTCTTGGAGACTGCTTTAATCCATACAAGGATTTCCGTAGCTTGCACACCACACCCTCCTTAGAAGTCACAGGGATACCTGGCGGAGGATATATATTTCTTCCTTGAGATCACCATGGAGGAATGCATTTTTGACATCAAATTGTAGCAGCGGCCAGTCACGGTTAGCAGCTAAGGATAAGAGTACGCGTACAGTATTGAGCTTAGCTACTGGAGCAAAAGTCTCTGTGTAATCCACTCCATATGTCTGAGTATACCCTTTTGCTAGCCTTGTAACGGTCAATGGAACCATCAGCCTTGTGCTTCAAAGTAAACACCCATCTGCACCCAACTGCCTTTTTTCCTTTTGGTAAAGGAACTAACTCCCAAGTAGCATTCTTGTTCAAGGCTTCCATCTCAACATGCATTGCATCTACCCAGTTTTGATCAGATAGAGCATCCTGCAACTTAGTTGGCACACATACACTAGATAATTGACACAAATATGATGCATATGACTTAGATAAACGATGAGTTGACATATAATGGTTAATGAGATATTTAGACTTGGCATGTATATCAGGAGAATATTGCACTTTAGGTTTCCCACGGGTAGTACGTGGGGGCAAAGAATAGGTAGGCACATCACTAGAAAGTACCTCATTATCACAACTTGATTGAGGCAATGGCAGGGCAGAGGGGGGTATATTATCAATTTCATCTGTACGAGAGTCGCCAATATCACTGTTATGTCCTTCTGAGAGAGGCTAGAAAAAACCACAATTTTGGTCTGGCGACCGGTCGT